TATCGTCCTCTTTTGGAAGACCAAACAAAGTAGTTTCGCTTTCACAACGAAAAACACAGCGGCCTAGTGTGAGCGAAAGCACCGGCTTAGCGTGAGCTGAAGCCGGGCAAGAGTAAGCTGAGGCAGCGGGGTCGAGAACGGCGGTCCCGGCAAAGGAGCGGTGAAAGCCGATCCGGCGATCCACAGCACTAAGTTGATGTATTCCCTCAGCGACCAGCACGGATCAGCTCTAGGCATGACGAAGCAGATATTATATAGATTATAATACATAAATAACATGACTTAAATCTATAAACATCTCATTTTTATGAAAGCAATTTTAAAGTCCATTAAATAACTAGCTTGACCAAGCTGGCATGAGGAACATTTATTTACAAAACCATGTAATTACAGCAAAAAACAGCAGTTATACAAAAAGTGTAGATAAAATTTTGCAAAATACCCAGGCATTTATATGTACACTTGGACTGTAACATTTAATAAATAAAGGTTAAAACATTGCCATTTACCAATGTGTTTTTCAAAACACCTTTTACATTTTTGGAATTAAATGTTTTGTACTTGGTAAAATAATTTAAATAATTGTTACCTAACTGTTACTATGAATTATTAAAGATTCTTAGAACACTAATATGTTGCGTAGGTATAAACATACAATATACACTCTCAATTAGATCATCCGAATACTAATTCATAGATACTTGGACAATTTTTTGTTAATTTTAACATACAAACTTGCTGCAACTGGATCCACTGTCCCTTCTCTGCCTTGCTGTGACAGGTGTTTTATGAAGAATTTAATTACTGAAACATACATTTAAAATCTAATGGAAGTCCTTTAATTTTGTATAATCACCTTAAATTATTTCTTAAAGCTAAAACCATCAGATGTATTTACTGTTCATTGAGTTTACTTCAACTATCACCACAGTCAAAGCTTTCTGGAAGTCATCTGTGCTCCAGATTACAAACCCTACCAGATAAATAAACACAATAAGTAAACACATTAAATTATTGTTTGTTTTGTTCTTTACACAGGCTATGTGGATGTAATCTCACTGCTCTTTAATTTTGTGTTATTGCCTTAAATTCTTTCTTTAAGTTAAAACCATCAGATGTATTCACTGATCATTGAGTTTACTTCAACTGTATCACCACAGTCAAAGCTTTCTGGAAGTCATATGTGCTCCAGATTACAAACCCTACCAGATAAATAAACACAATAAGTAAACACATTATCTGCTGGTTTTGTTCTTTATACAGGCTATGTGGATGCAATCTCACTGCTCAGTCCTGTAAGAGTTTGTCTTCAGCTCTACAATCCTCAAACTCTGTCCTGAGAGAGCTGGACCTGAGTAACAATGACCTGCAGGATTCAGGAGTGAAGCTGCTTTCTGATGGACTGAAGAGTCCAAACTGTCAGCTGGAGATACTGAGGTAAATGGTTCTCAATCAAATAAATTAACAATATATTCAGTGTGTTCATCAAATTGTAAAGCTTGTGATGTAATTTGATATAAATACACAGCGCAGCAGTATGTTAATTTACATGCAAGCAGCTCTTGATCCAGTGTTTTCAGTGTCTCGGAGTGGCTTGGTTCACAGTAAATTCTGCTCCACACAAACTCCATCTCATGCAAGTGCTGAGAGTTTGGGTCACTTATTACATGAACTAAAAAAATGCAACATGCATCAAACATTTGCCCTTTTTTGACTGGTCATATTAATCATTTTGTACTTGATAACCGCTGTTAGACAGTTGAGGCAGACCAGCATAAAACTTAACTTTTTGGATGTTTTGTCATCTAAACAAAAAGCCAATAGGCGTGTAATTGAGTGCAGCAGAGTAGCATGAAGAATATTAATTAGTGGGGTGTAATGAAATTACTTATTCATTTGTAATTGTAGGGAATTAATTATTATTAATTCATTCAGGTTTTGAGAGGACTCGGATCTGAATATCCCAAGTCCACCTGATTAAACCGATTTCAAATTTGTTGTGTTACACTTTAAATCAAGGGTCGTCCAGCGAGCCGTGATTTCAGTATATTTTAACAAACTGACTATGTATCTGTATTTTCCCCCTGGCCATGGGTTAACACAATTATGATAATTTATCAGCTCTTAGAGAGGTAACGTTGATCTTGGCAAAGTTTTAACCTTGAAATTATATGACACCAGACGATGATTATTTATAAATGAAACATGAATTTTTATTGGCTATTCTTGATTACATAAAACCCAAACTAACACACACATACAGTTTCAGATGAAAGAAGTGAGAGTTGACGGAGTTCTATGAAGTTTCAAGTTCTAACTCGTTTTACGAGTGATTTAAATTCACCTTAGAGAATTTACCAAGCAGAGAATTTTCTTATCTTTACTGTTTAACTAAATTCACCAGCATCAGTTCAGCAGATCGAAGATTTTGCTTGTACTTGCATTTTGCTTGGTTGACAGCTGAAAAGCTGAGTTGTCCCGTTACTGACGAAGGCTTCCTGGATGGCTGCTGAGGGAACCCCGGAGCTTTCGGATTGGTCGCTGAGGTGGTTTGGATGACGTCCTTTTGGGGAGACCCCTCGTTGGATTGGTTGGTCTCTTGATGATGCCAGAAGCTTGAGCAGTTTTGCTACAGTCTGAGTTTGCAAGACTCAGAGTTTTTTGACGATCGTGAAGTTTCCCTGAAGTGTTTGAGTTTTAGATGACCGATCACTTTGATGGTAAACGTGTGAGCACAAGGTGGAGTACTCTTAATGGGGATAATTTGCTGTATAATTGACAGGGACGGGTCCTACTCAGTGTGTTGTGGTATAAAATAAATGAGTACATCTCCTCTGAAACTTAAATTCAGCCATTGCTCTTTACTTAGAAGACATGTTATGAGTCACAAACTGCACAGAGGCATGAAAGCTGCGGATCCAAATGCAATATTTATTAAAGTGTAATCAAAATATGTAATCCAGAAACAAGCAAAAGGTCATACACAGACAATCAACCAAACAATAACAACAGGGCAATAAACACAGGCAGAGAATCAAAAACCATGAAACATAAAACAAGGAGACATTTAGAATTGCAAATTACAGATTTGCGCAAAACTTTGGTGATATTTTATAAATGTCGATAAAAAAGTATTGCGAAATGACGGCGTTTCCATTAACCAATGTTATGCGACTAAAACGTAACCTTTTGCCTCTCGCGATAAGTCATGGCAATGGATTTTGGTGGGATTTTGGCTATATTTATTCAAAGGAGGCTTTTGCGTGTATCTTTACAGAAGCAGCAAAGAGAGCCGCTTCAGAAACGTGTGTGGCACGGCTGGAATAAACCATAGACTGTATAAAAACATAAACACAAGCATTGAGTGGCAGCAGTCAGATTCAGTGACCGTATCAGAGCCACACTGCACCGCAGACGTGTGCAGTGTAAATTGTCTAAGCATTAATGGTAGGGAAAGCCCCTTATACTGGAGCGCGGCCACTTATGAAGTGTTTCTTGGATGTTATAGTACATTGAAGAATGATCATATGACTTTTTACATACGCCATGTGACCTGTAAATGCGAAAAAGCCGTTTCCATTGCAGTTTTGCGAATTATTCCTTTTTCGCATTGCCTGAAAAACCACCTCGTGCGAGCGTAAAAACTTTTTTGCAATATATGGGAGTTTTAGCGAAATTGATGCGTTTCCATTAGGTGTATTTTCAATTCGCGATTTCAATTTGCGCAATTTGAAGGGTAATGGAAACGCGCCTACTGACTGAAAGATACATCACTTTTAAAGGCAGAGGTAATGAGATAATGAGACACAACTGAATGCAATCAGTGATGATGAGACTAGACAGCGAGTTCTGGGAAATGTAGTTTGTGAGGCAGTAACACTATTCTGGGATGGAGTGCCCTCTGGTTACTATCAAGGACACTCCAGCTGGTGATCGTGACATTAGGGTTCATTAGATATATAATCTTCCAGCAAGTCTGCTTGATCATTTACCAAAGAAGCAAGTCAAAATTATTCAGGAAAATAAGATTTTCTTATCAAAGTGATAAAATGTTGAAAGTTACTAAATAAAACTAAATAATTTTTTTCTGGTATATGTTTAAGGCAATATTGATCAAATGATAAGCAGTGTTGGGGGTAAGAGTTACGTAATTAGATTACTTTTTTCAAGTAACTAGTAAAGTAACGCATTACTTTTTAATTTACAAGAGAATATCTGAGTTACTTTTTCAAATAAGTAACGCAAGTTACTTTTTTTTAACCAATTTATTGATTGGCAGCTCTCAAAAAAAACAAGCAAGCCCTGTTTTAAAAAAAGTAATGTAACGCATTACTTTCCACAAAAAGTAACTAAGTAACGTAATTAGTTACTTTTTTATGGAGTAACGCAATATTGTAATGCATTACTTTTAAAAGTGACTTTCCCCAACACTGATGATAAGTATGTTGAACCAAAACAATTAAAGTAATATAGCAAAAGTAACACAGAAATTCAAAAACAATGGACTTGTGACAAGGCCCCTGAAATAATCAGGCCTTCATTTTCATTTAGTGATGAGTAATTTTTTGCTAGAAAAAGAGCAGGAAAAATACCAAGCAAGTGTCTCAGAGCCTGCAAAAGCTATGAAAAGAGTGACTGTGTATCTCACCAAGTACGATGCAGCCTGCAGAAGTGACATGCATGGTTGTTGTCCTCACTGAAACTACCTACTGTAGCCAAAGCACAATATACTCATTTAGCCTTTTCCAAGACCCATATTTACAAAATATAGACCTCTGGGAATCCATACTTGGGTCTCATGAGATCAAGTCAATCATTTCAGATCTAAGTGAAAAAAGGGAAAGTGACATGTGGCCAAGTATGGTGACCCATACTTGGAATTAGGGCTCTGCATTTAACCCATCCAAAATGCACACACACACCGTGAACACACACCCGGAGCAGTGGGCAGCCATTTTTGCTGCGGTGCCCGGGGAGCAGTTGGGGGTTCGGTGCCTTGCTCAAGGGCACCTCAGTCGTGGTATTGAAGGTGGAAGAGAGCACTGTACATTCACTCCCCCCACCTACAATCCCTCCCGGTACGAGACTCGAGACCGACTCTCTAACCATTAGGCCACGACTTCCCCAGGTGCTGCTAGAGAAGGAGTACAGTGCCTGGTTCCCACAGTGGAGTTTGGTGGTAGTAAAGCTCTTATATAGGGATGCATGAGTGATGAAGGTTTATTAATTAATACTGTCATGAATTCACACAACTTGAAACAGAACATGCTACCCTCTCCTCATTGGCTTGCGTTGGTGGGCATTTTTTCAACATGACAATGACGATATGCAGTCTCCCAAGTTGAAAGGACAGTAGAAAGTGATGACAAATAGACGTAAATAGAAAGTGATATCAAAAGTCTAGATTTTTTTCTTAACAAGTGTTGTTTGTTCAGCAGTAAAACCAATGACACAACTCCACTGGACAGCTTTTTCTATCATTTTATTTATAATGTTTACATGGCGTTCATGTCATCATTGACATCATGTACTGATAGTGACATTATTGCACTTCTAATGATGGATAAGTTTATTTTTAACAAAGTAAACCTTAAGACATGACCACATAGGATTAATTAATGGCTGAAATAAGCATAAATGTGTGTAAGAGATGTCACATGGACTGTTGCTGTATTTGTAGGTTGTCTGGCTGTATGGTTACAGAGGAAGGCTGTGGTTATGTGTCTTCAGCTCTGAGTTCAAACCCCTCACACCTGAGAGAGCTGGATCTGAGCTACAATCACCCCGGAGATTCAGGAGTCAAGCTGCTCTCTGAAAAACTGGAGGACTCAAACTGCTCATTGGACAAACTGAAGTATGTCAAGCATTTTGTTTTATTATTTAAATTCCTCAGTGTCTATGTGTGTGTGTGTATATATATATATATATATATATATATATATATATATATATATCGCAAAATGCAATATCCGCTGTGCAATTCTGTCATGTTTCTCCCTATCTTTCCAAACTGCGACAAACACCAGTCTCCCTTCTCTGCAGAATGCGATACATCCGCTCAACCAATCACAGCGCACCATTCCACGCATTGTAAACAGTAACTGACAAGCTACGCAATATCGCGTTCATATTAATCGCAGATGAATTGCCTTCAATTATGAACGCGATATTGCGTAGCTTGTCAGTGATCTATGGCTCTGTGTATTAAATGCCGCTCCATCTGAAAGCATGGGATGGAGATTTACTACTAATCACAGAACCGGCTTTACTGATGAGATGCGTAAGACAATCACATGCGATTTATTGTGCAGCCCCAAAAAAATTACAAATTTTGATGGCATTGATGAACTGTGGTGGTTTCTGCGGTGGGGAAGAAACGTAAGCTATTAATAAGATTAGTATTGACCAAGTTCAGAGGCTGTCATATGTGGATCAACTTACCTTGTTGTGTATTTTCAACAGCTTCAATATGAAAAATAACTTTTATATTGATTCAATGGATTTATTGCATTTTGGGGAAAAAAAATCTGTTTTTATAATACATTTTTGAAAATAATTTTCACTCTCTATTGTCTTTAGTTGTGTCGCGCCACTCGTGTCTGGTGTAGACACAGAGTAACAGATTTTCTTGTTCCAGAAGCCATTTCAGTTGGATATATGGCACAATAGGGAAGAAAAGCAACTTTTATGCCAGCTTTAAAGTCCCCCTGTAGTCAAAAATGTTATCCTTTAAAACTCATCTTTGATCATAAAAATTACATATTTAAAAAAATTCTTGTGAAAATAATTTTCTTATGCCTTAAAATAGCTTGAATGCAACTCTACACCCTTGCCTCATTTACTATACACGGATCTATGAATATGCAAATTAGCCCCGCTTCCACTCAGTCACACACCAGCCAGCCAGGAGCCAGTGCCTTCTGATCCACTAACTGAACTGTAGTAAACGTGATACAGTGGCAATGGCAAGTGGAAATATTGGTTTAATAGGTTTAATTAAGCCATATGTGTTTGAACCATAATAAGCTGGTATGCTTAACGTAAGCAAGGAGACTGATGGCTAACTTCGTGAGGTAACATTATCTGTTTGTGCTGGTTCGTACACGGATAATGACTGATAAAACTGTTTTTACTAGTGGACAACTACAGTGGATACTGTAACACTCGTTAAAGTTTGTGATTCCAAATGGCGCCCGCGATCATATGCGTGTGACGTGCGTCTAACTCCGGGTTACTTTCACACTGCTGCCGTGGGTTATTATTCAAGTCAGCGGTTCTAAATACAAACAAATAAGCACTAACAGCACATGACATCGTGAAAATAGGGGGAAATATTAACAGTTGGCGAAACATCTACAGAACAAATATAACTGTTACCGGATTAACCTGGCTGCCTTCGCACTAGACCCTCTGCAGCACAGCGTGATTGGTTATTGAGTTGTGTGACGTAGCAAAACAAAGGCTGTTTCAAACTGCGTTTCTGTGACTGCCTTTGGGAAACTACAGTTTGAAGGAGAAAATACTCCACAATGGTGTTGATTAATAGATTGGCACATGGTTTGTCTAAAAGCATATTAAAAACACCACATAGACAAATAAACAACATAAAAAACTAGATTTTTACCACAGGGGGACTTTAACTTTGTCCTCTCATTTCCTCTTTACATATTTTTCAATGCAGTTATGGTTCTGTGAAAAATAATTAGATTTCCAGTGCTCATAAAATCGACAGCCCTCCTCATCTACTTCTTTTTTTATGTGGCCATGGTGATCATTAACAACTGGTAACAGTCACTAATTCATAGTTTACTGCTATACTTGGTGTAAAATCTAGTATTATTGCAAAACTGCAGGATTTGTAAATGATGCATGGCAGGTCACATATAAAATATTTGAATAGTCAAGCTGCAGCCTGCTTGAGATTCATAACTGGGCCATGATTGGCCCGCGGGCCGGACTTTGAACACCCCTGATAAAAGGACCCCTGTTGTAAATGAGCAGTGTGATATAAGTGAGTTGTGTAAATAGTGATTTATGTGACTTCAATTATTTCTTATTAAACTGAAATTGAAGTAAAAAGTTTTTTTGGAAAACCACATCCTGGCTTCAGTCTTCATTTGCTGCTGAATTGTGTTAACACGCATATACTGTAGAAACATAAGGAGAGCAAGAGATTGATTGTTAAATTCAGTTTATTTTTAATTAATACTATAGTAGTTCAGTTTCCTTTACATCTTTGACTAGCCATTAATTTATCAATTGAATGGGTGACGTATCCTCATTAATCATGCAAACATTTGCCCCCCCGAAAGAATTGGCAGGAGCCGCCACTGCTTAGAACACTGACTGTTTCAATAGCAACCGTGGCTTCTAACGGCAGCTGCAGTGACGCGATGACTTTATCAATTGGTGATCGACTCTTTTATTGAAAAGGCGGGACTATTCCGCCATATTGCCTGTTACACTTTCTTCCATTCATAAGTAATAGGAGTGCACCGTCTCTGGTATATCTAAAGTCTTTGAAGCAGTTCAGCACGGAGAGAACAGCATGTTGCATCACTGCTGC